AAAACCCTGAGCTCACATTAGAGAAAAAGAAGGGGCTTATTACCTTGAGTGGATTTCGTAGGAGATATTTAGTGGTAGGGCGGCAACAAGGTTCAACTCCATGGGGCATTGGGGCGGAACAGTGATACAAAAGAAACAGGGGATGAAAGACGGTAGAGACGAGTACAGAGTTGGGGAAGGGTAACGCAGAAGAAAGAAAAGAAAATACACAAGGAATAGGTGAGGGGGGGACCGATTGAGAGACGAGTGTGCGGGGGAGTTGAGAGAGCAGAGAGGAAGAGGTAAAAGGGAAATAAAACGAAAATGCTTATGTACTTACTCTTATATCCACCTTATACCCACCATGTTTGTGAAATGTTTTTTTGTCTATGAACTCGATTCACAGACAAAAATAAAACACTTCACAAACATATGTGGGTACAAAAGTGGGTATAAGAGTGGGTACAAACATCATTTTTGAAGGTAAAAATAGTCGAGCTTATATAACGTGTACACAAGCGTGTACACAAACGTGTACAAGTAGAATAATTCTTTAGTTAATTGAGAACATTGTTTAGCCATGTCAATGTGTCCTCTTCACTGTTTATAGATTTGTACCATGATTATATTTATGATATAAGAAAACAAATAACATGCAATGCATTTGCGCGCGCGCGCACACACACACACATATATATATACACACACAGAAAAGATCAGGTCCCTCCGGAGGGACGGGAGGGACCGTCCGGCCAAGACCATCAGAGGCCCTTCCCGGTGGAACTTTTTGATGAAATGTTTTGAGCATGTTCCTTATTAAGTCTAGTTTATCCATACCAAATTTCAGCTAAAAATTCAACCGGGAAGGCACTCAAATGATTTTTGGAAGATAACTGCGTTTTATATGTATATAAACTGCGCAGGTAACTTCCAAAAATCATTTGACTGCCTTCCCAAATGAATTTTTAGCTGAAATGTGGTATGGATAAACTAGACTTCATGAAGAACATGCTCAAAAAATTTCAACAAAAAATTCCACTGGTAAGGGCCCCAAATGGCGACGGCCGGACGGCGGGTCCTGTCCCTCCGGCTGGACAGGATCAGACTACTATATGAGGAATGTTCAGGTCCGAACATTCCTGGTCCGAACACCGTCCGAACATCCCCATTTGGGGCCCTTCCCGGTGGAATTTTTTGATGAAATTTTTTGAGCATGTTCCTCATCAAGTTTAGTTTGTCCATACCAAATTTCAGCTCAAAATTCGATCGGGAAAGCATTCAAATAATTTGTTGAAGTTGACTGCGTCAAAATATACATATAAAAAACGTAGTCAACTTCAAAAAATGATTTGAACGCCTTCCCGGTCGAGTTTTGAGCTGAAATTTGGTATGGACAAACTAGACTTGATGAGGAACATGTTCAAAAAATTTCATCAAAAAATGCCACTGGGAAGGGCCCCAAATGGCCATGTTCGGACGGCGTTCGGACAAAAACGTGCTGGACAGGATCATTTCTCTCTCTCTATATATATATACACACACACACACACACACAAATGTTCAGGTCAGGAGTTCCTGACCGGAACCGCCATCCGGACCGCGGCGTTTGGCCGCCTTCCGGGTGGAATTTTTTGATGAAATGTTTATCACATGTTCTCTATCAAGTCTAGTTTATCCACAAACAAATTCAGCCAAAAACTCAATCGGGAAGGTCGTCAAATGATTTTTGCAAGTTAACTGGTCCGGAAAATACATATTCTGAACCAGTTAACTTGCAAAAATTATTTGACGACCTTCCCGATTGAGTTTTTGGCTGAATTTTTTTGTGGATAAACTAGACTTGATGGAGAACATGTCATAAAAATTTCATCAAAAAAAGCCACCGGGAAGGTGGCCAAACGCCGCGGTTCCGGTCAGGAACTCCTGACCGGATCATTACTCATATACATTGTTCTAAAAATCGGCCTAGGCGGACCGATTAATCGGCCTAGGCGGCCTAGGCGGCCCTAACCGTAGAGTTCTAGTCGGTCTAGTCGGCCAAAAAATCGGCCTAGTCGGCCGCCTAGGCGCTAGGCGCCCCTCTACCGCCCGACTAGCGCCTAGCGAGTTTTAGAACAATGCTCATATATATATATATATATACATATATATACCCCAGTATACCCCAGCAGGACGGGACAACAAATAAGGAAGAAACTCTGGGTGACACAAAGCGAAGAAGGATTTGGGATAGTCAAGCCACATGAGGCATAGCTGGTGAAGGAATGGCTCTGGATGAACCAAAAAATGGGGAGACGGCGGGTCAATTTCCTTAGACCCACCGAGTTTTCATATGGTGGTGGTGATGAAGAAGACAAGTACTGGTGTTATTCTTATTGTTTGCGTTATCTACGTTTGACGGAACAAATGTCTTGGACTGGTTATTTCAAGCAGAAAAATACTTTGATTTTTGGGAAATTGCAGAAGAACAGAGAATTGACATTGCTAGTTTCTACATGGTCGGCCAAGCCCTATCTTGGTGCCAATGGATGCACAGAAACAGGCAAATGTCATCATGGAAGGCGTTCACCACCACCATGGAGCAGAGGTTTGGTCCATCAACATATGTGAACCACCGGGCAACGCTCTTTAAGCTAACGCAGAAAACGACGGTCGAGGCTTATTAGTCAGAGTTTGAAACCATAAGCAATCGGGTAACACAACTTGATCCAGACGTAATGTTAGATTGTTTTATTTCGGGGTTGAAACCATTCATTCATAATGAGTTATCTATCATCAAACCTGCTACCCTAGCTGAAGCTATTGCTATGGCTAAACTGATAGAAGACAAACAACAAGACTCCAGAGTGTTAACTCCCAAGCCGGCCTCCTGGAGAACACCTTCAGCGAGAACCTCACCCCCACTTCAGCCCATACATCTAACCAAGCACCCTTGTTACCCCTCCTAGCCCCTACCAACCCAAACCATGGGTAAAAAACTTCTCTACCTAACAGGAAGTTGACGGCTGCAGAATTACAAAGTCGTCGCGCCCAAGGACTTTGCTATAATTGTGATGAGAGGTATCGCCCCGGACATCGTTGCAAAACCAAACCCTTCTTCATTATGCTAGCGGATGAACCAATCTGTGAGGAAGATGGCAAACCGACTATAGTTGAACCGGCAGAGACGGAGCCTGACAGAGATTTGACAGATTCTCCTCCAGAAATATCATTCCATGCCCTAGGAGGCATTCATGGACCACGTACGCTCCGTTTAGAAGCAATCATCAAGGTGAAAAATTTACCGTTTTGATTGACACTGGGAGTTCTCACAATTATCTCCAACCGCGCATAGCAAAACATTTACAACTTTCGGTGGATAGGTCCACCTGTTTCCAAGTTGCAGTCGGCAATGGTGAACGAATTGAGAGTGAGGGAACATGCGCAAACGTGGTTTTCACAATGCAGGGAACGGAGTTTACGACAGACTTCCACATCTTAAAGTTTATTGGAGCGGATGTTATTTTGGGAGTTCAGTGGTTAGAAGGACTGGGAAAGGTAGTCACTGATCATAAACAGATGACCATGGAATTTGACTACAACGGGAACCCGGTAAAGCTCCAGGGGATTTCAGTCCCTAACGCTACAACCATCTATTGTCATCAACTCATAAAGTTACAGCGTAAGGGAAACATAGTACATAGCCTCTTACTCATATCCCAACCCAGCCTCTCTGCAATGTGCACCACTGACACAACCACACCACTGGCTATTCAAGAAATCCTATAGGAGTTTCAAGACGTATTCAGCCTGCCCTAAGGGCTTCCGCCTGACCGTATATTAAACCATAAAATTAACCTCCTTCCTCATTCTAGCCCAGTAAATGTCAAGCCATACCGCTACCTCCACTTCCAAAAGAATGAAATTGAGCGCTTTGTTCGAGAGATGTTGAAAGATGGCATTATCCAACCGTCAACCAGCCTATTTTCATCACCCGGTTTGCTGGTCCGTAAAAAGGACAGGACTTGGAGATTTTATGTAGACTATAGAGCTCTCAACGCCATTACCATCAAGGATCGATTTCCCATGCCTACTGTGGACGAGTTGTTGGATGAATTACATGGAGCGGTGATATTTTCGAAACTTGATTTGCGTAGTGGGTACTATCAAATTCGAGTCAGTCCCCCAGATGTTCCAAAAACTACTTTTAGAACTCCTGAGGGTCACTACGAATTTCTGGTTATGCCATTCGGATTAACCAACGCACCTGCTACCTTTCAGGCCACGGTGAATGCCGTTTCCAAACCATTTTTACGCAGGTTTGTATTGGTTTTTATAGATGATATTCTCCTGTTCAGTTGTTCTCTTGCAGATCACCTACAACATTTACGTATTGTTCTCACCACCCTTCATGAGAGGTTACGCATAAGGAGGATAACCACCTTGCAGTAAACCGTGAGAAGAGGATGATCAGAACCCTCCCAACCTACGTGACTATCCGTGCACCTAATGGAGGTCATGTAATAACTACTTTAGTAGTGGTATTTGGGTTAACTATTTTTTAGGATGCAATTAATTTTATTCATGTATATATGTTGATGAATGAAAGAAGAAATGGGAGGTCCCAACTCTGAATTCTCTCATTAAGCTTGTACTCTCATTCCTATCTCATTCCCAATTGCTTCTATTCTGGAGGTTTCCACCCTCATATAGTGAACAAAGCAAATATAGTAATCAATCCTTAACAGTTGAATGCTATTTTAATAAATTAAGCCTCATTCGATAAAAAAAAATACTTTTAGCATTAGTCATACTTTTGAAAAAACTTCAAAAATATTACAAAGTACTACCTCTATCCCATTTTATGTGTCTTCTTTGGTTTTGACACAATTTTTAATAAAAGGGTTGAAAAGGTAAAAATTGTGGTTGAGATTTGAGTAAAGTAAAGTGAAATGCTGTGAATCACATATTTTTTTCCAAAAAAGGAAATGTGATACTTATTTTGGGACAACCAAAAAAGGAAAATAAGACAGGGGAGACGGAGAAAGTGACCGACTGAAATCATGACGGCGGATAAAAATGTTGCTAGAATTGTTTGCTCAATATTTGAGGCATATATTTAGAAACAGTCTGCACCAGCATTTGTGGGCCGATCACACAATAATCCTATAGTTCTCGGAGATCGTCCCTCACTCCCTCCGTAGACGTATCTAACTAACCCTAAGTTCTCACTCCTTGGAACAGCGGAGGGCTTTCTCTACCTTCTGTAACCGCGGCGGCCTCTCCTCTCTTAGAATTCACTTTACCTGACTTTCTGTTACACAGTGTTTGAATCCATGGCTTTGGTGAGTAGTTTACTTCTTCATTTTTGTGCTGGGGTATTGTTATTTAGGCAGATCTACGCTTGACCTGCTAGCTCATTCCCTAAATAGATTCTTTCATTCAAAGTTCCAGTCTTTTGCTATATCTTGCATATGGCTGCAAATGCCCCGCTGACCCGAGTACTTTTCCGACAATTGCTCAATTTTTTGGTAAAATTTATTTCCGCGCGTTGAAATGTAGCTATAAATCATGTGATGTTCAATCTCTTTCAACGTTCAGTTTATGTTAAGTATATCAACCTAGTGAACTATATTTGACGATTAAGAGATACACAGAGCCCAGTTCATCTGCTTTGATGTTAAAAATAGAACCTTTCATGAAGTTAATTTGAATCAAACGGAAATCAATTTTACAGAATTTTGAGATATGCATTACTGTATTCTTACACATGTTTAAGTGTAACCATTCCGTTCTGCCGACAACTTCTTGATTCTATTTTGTAGACCCTACATTCATCTGCTACAAACAAGAATGCATTCAAAGCACTTATTGCTGCAGAGTATACTGGTGTAAAAGTAGAACTGGTGAAAGACTTCCAGATGGGTGTATCAAACAAGACTCCTGAGTTTCTTAAGATGAATCCCATTGGGAAGGTAGCATGTCTAGAATTCAGGAATATCATATTGATGAGATTTTTTGATGTTATGTTAATGATTTTTTATCTTTTCCTTTTTAAAAAACTTATAAAGGTTCCTGTGCTTGAAACGCCTGATGGTACAGTATTTGAGAGCAATGCCATTGCACGCTACGGTGAGTTGCTGTTCGTTAGTTTCTGTATCTAATATCCCTTTTATTATTGACTTTATGTTCTGAAGTTCTTTTATCAATTCTTATAGTTGCTAAGTTGAAGCCTGACAATCACCTCTTTGGATCTTCATTGATTGATTATGTAAGTTTTTTTTGTTTAATGTAATTCAATACTCTCTCCGTTTAAATAAAAGAGTTTTGTGTGATCAATTCAATTACATTTTCCATGTAGTTTACCTTAAGAAGTACAAATAAGTCAAGTATGAAAAAATAGTTAAATCATCAAATGGATTTCTAAAATTCCAAGTATAATTAGCATGTCTTACAGAAGATTTTGTAGTGTTTTTGCCAACTTTAAATTTAATGTAATGTGTTTCAATCAATTGAAAAAACTCACATATTTCACCAAAAATGTTATAGACAATTTGAAAAGGATATATTTACTAAATCATCAAATAGATTTTATATATGCATTATTAATTAACAAGCCTAATGGTCAAATTTTAATCATTTGTGATTTGTCATGCTTTGGACAACTCTTTAAAATGGTCAATATAGCCATGTTTTTTAGATATTGGATCCACTTTTTGTCTTTCGTTAGTGATACCATTGTAGCTTTACCTTATGATAATGGCTAAATCTCAAAGCATGTAAAAATGTCATAATTAAATGACATTAGACAATACTTGTGAGGCATGTTGGAAGTTTGGAAATTCGCCCCACTGCCAACTCAGCCAAAGTAACCACATCAGTTAAACATATTTTGAATTTAATTTCCAATCGTTTGTTAAGAACAGGGTTGGTAGAGGTAAAATTGACCACAATGGCTCAATGTGTTGAATTTGATGTTATTGTCAATTTGTCACTGAAAGGGTTGAAGGGTTACTAGATTGATTTTTCAAAAAATTAATTTTGAAAGTACTTTTTTAATAAATCAAAACACCTAAAAGTTTGTTCCAGACAGGTCATTAATCTTCATATGCGTACAAAAGAATCTTTTGCAGGAATCGTTTTGTTATTAGCCAATGTTGCAAATGCAGTCAAACAAGTAGTTAATTTTTGCTAAAAATTTGTTCATAAGAACTGACAACAAAAAAGTGCAAGGTACCCAATTTGCACTCATCATCATCATCACCCCAGTGCCGCAAAGGCTCCCCACCTACGGTGGGATAAAGGGGGGGGTCGGATGTACGCTGTCTTACCCCTGTTGCATCTTGTTTACAAAAACATGCCTAAATTTACTGATTTAAAAGAAATGTCAAAATTGCAATGCAATGTCAAGGATTGCCCAAAACCACATCTAATATGCAAAGTCGTGGCGAATTCGACAGTTAGGATTGCCAAAATTGCAGCATAATGTGATGATTGGATATGTCTCATCATTAGTTTAATTAACGAGTTATAGCAATTATATAATACCAGAATTGTTTACATTACTATGTGGACTATCTTTGGATAAGTATTTTCATGATGTTGATCATTTGTTTGATAGGCACATGTTGAGCAGTGGAATGACTTTTCGGCAACTGAGATCGATACAAACACAGGTCGATGGTTGTACCCACGGCTTGGATTTGGTGTACATTTGCCACCGGTATGAATCTTGCTCCTCTGCATTCAACTAGAAACACATTTTTTCTGCTTAAAACGGTATATATAAATTATGTTTGTTGGTCCATGTAGGCTGAGGAGATTGCAGTAGCTGCATTGAAGAGAGCCCTTGAAGCCTTAAACACCCATCTTGCATCTAACACTTACTTAGTTGGGCATTCTGTCACATTAGCTGACATTGTTATGACCTGCAACCTTAGTGTTGGATTTAAGCTGATCATGACAAAGTCCTTCACTAAGGACTTCCCTCATGTGGAGAGATATTTCTGGACTATGGTTAATCAGCCAAACTTTTCTAAAATATTGGGTGAGATTAAACAAGCAGAATCTGTTCCACCTCCTCCATCAAAGAAGCCCGCTGCACAGGCTAAGGAGTCTGCAAAACCAAAAGAAGAACCGAAGAAAGAAGAAGCAAAACCAAAGGAAGAAGGGGTGGAAGAGGAGGCACCCAAGCCAAAGCCAAAGAACCCTCTTGATCTTTTGCCTCCAAGCAAAATGGTTTTGGATGACTGGAAGAGGCTCTACTCTAATACTAAAACAAACTTCCGTGAGGTTGCCATTAAAGGTGCATTGGCCTTTTATTTGCAAGTTGTCCCATTACAATTTTTTATCATGCCATTTTTCTTCAACTTACCTTTTCTTGTTCTACTAAATTGTTAACATCCAGGTTTTTGGGACATGTATGATCCGGAGGGATACTCTCTTTGGTTCTGTGATTACAAATACAATGATGAGAATACAGTCTCTTTTGTAACTTTGAATAAAGTAGGCGGTTTCCTTCAGAGGATGGACTTGGCACGGAAGTATGCTTTTGGTAAGATGTTGGTGATTGGTTCGCAGCCCCCATTCAAAGTCAAGGGGCTGTGGCTCTTTCGAGGCAAAGAAGTTCCCAAGTTTCTTTTGGATGAAGTGTACGACATGGAACTTTATGAGTGGAAGGAGGTTGACATCAATGATGAAGCTCAGAAAGAGCGGGTCAGCCAGATGATTGAAGATCAGGAACCATTTGAAGGAGAGGCTCTTCTGGATGCAAAGTGCTTCAAGTGAGTATTGACCCGCTCCCTAGCTGAGGCTTCCATAGCTCTCAAGCTAGTAGGGTACTAGGGTTTTGAATTTGGTAATGCAGTTTCATTCCCTTTCCTTTAGAACCGTATAATCCCATATTTTGAAGTATCTCCGGATGTTTCTGTATGTAATACACGTGCTTGATCTTAGGCATGGACCCGGTTCGGGCCGCCCGGCCCGGGACCGGCCCGGCCCGCCACTGTGCGAGCCCGGAACCGGCCCGGTTCTCGGGTCCGGGTCCGGGTCGGGCCTAGGCCCGGTGGGGTGGCCGGGTCCGGGCTCGGGCCTTGAATTTGGCGAACCGGCCCGGCCGGGTCGGGCCCGGGCCCGGGCCGAATTAATTTTTTTTAATTTTTTTTTCTTTTTTTGGGGTTAGCCAAGTTGGGCTTGATGATTAGGAGGGGTTTGGGGGGGTGTGGGGGTGAGTGGGGGGGTTAGGAAAGCAAAAAAAAAAAAAAATTATAACCGAACCGGAGGCCCGGCCCGGCCCGGACCCGGTGGCTACCCGGGCCGGTCCCGGGCCTTCCTTCCCAAAAAAAAGCCCGGCCGGGCCCGGCCCGGAACCGGAACCGGCCCGGCCCGGGTCCATGACTACTTGATCTGAACCAAAATTTTAGATAGTATTCAATCGCAGTACTATAGAAACTGCTTTTTTCGGTGATTTTTTTAATGGAGATTACAAGTATCACTTTCGCAGGGTGGTTTACTGAGAGAGCCATATATCATTTTTTGTTTTGCTTAAACTGATTAATGGAGTAAATGATAACAGGATTAGGTTTCCATTGAATCGAGAAATCTATTTAAAATAACAAGTCAATAAAATATTTGTAGAACTAAATACACTTGGCACAGGATGTGGTTGTTAGAAATTATTATAAACAAAAGTATTTTATTATAATTTATAATCAGTATAACACAGTATAATAAATTTAGAACTAATAACGTATAGATAAGTTTATTAGCAATGCCCACCAGATATCTGTTGACCAAATTCTACCGTTACTGTAGGAGAAATGGATCGGAAGTTTGGAACACTGAGCAGTGGTTTTTAATAGGGCTGGGTCCGAAAAACTGAAAACCGAAAACCGAATCAAATCATACCGAACTGTAGCCAAATAAAACCGAATGTAAAAAACCGAACCGAACCGTAGTTGTTTGGTTCGGTTTTGGTTTTTACCCTTCAAAACCGAACTGAATCGAACAAACCGAACTAATTAAAATATAAAATTTATTTGTCAATATTTAAGCATTAATCCTAACTAATCCTAATATCATTTATAGTCTTTGGTTTTCTTGTGCTAGAAAAATAATGTTTGTGTTATGTTCAGTTTGGTTTATAAATTTATTTACATATTCATTGCCCATTGCCCGTAATAATGTAGCCACACTGAATGATAATAATATGTTCTTACTAGTTATTAGTATTAATTAACTTTTATTTTTATTTAACTTAAAAAATTCATATTGATGAAACAATAAATATTCATCTCAACTTTTTTTGAACTAGTTACAAACAATGTAAATTAATAATATACGATAGTATATACTTTTATATCTCTTGCAAACTCATTTAATTCAAGACATATTTATTTATTTTCATTTTTATTTTATTTGTTGTAGTGTGCTTGCATTCTTTATGTAATATATGTTTGATCCCTCGAAGTATTATATCAATTTTAAATCAAATGATAATCTTTGGTAAGAAACCGAAAAACCGAAACCGAATCGAAACAAACCGAACCAATCAAACCGTGGTTCCAAGTTTTGGAGTGTAAAACCGAATCGAAACCAAACCAAACTTTTTACTTTGATTCTATATTTGGTTTTAGGTCAAAACCGAACCGCAAGAACCGAACTCACCCCTAGTTTTTAATTGTGAAATAATGGAATAGGATGTCCTGAGCCTTGACTGATATATTTATAGGAAAGAGTTTAAATGTAAAAGTACACAAATATCCATATTTAATAATTCTATTACACCCCTTCAAGTTGTGTGGGAGAAACAACGCACATGTTATCTTTCAAAAAATGAAAACGCTGACTAGGGAGGCTCTTAGTAAAAATATCTGCCAACCGTAGATGAGTAGGAACATGCCAAACAATGAGATCTCCATGAGCAACACGTTCGCGAACAAAAAGATAGTCAATTTGTATACGTTTACTCTGGGCATGCTGGATAGAATTAGCAGTCAAGTAGGAAGCAGAAATATTATCACACAATAAATGTACTGGCTCGGTAATGGGAAAGCCAAGCTCAAATACAACGGATGTGATATGCAAGGTGTCTTGAACTGTGTATGCAATAGCGTGATACTCGGCTTCCGTAGAGGATTTGGACACTGTAGGTTGCTTCTTGGACTTCCAGGAAATTAGATTGGGACCCAAAAATACTGCAAAACTTGTGGTTGACCGAGAGCTGTCTGGACAACCGGCCCAATCTGCGTCGGAATATGCCAGCACAAACGTGGGTTTCGCAGAACGCTGAAGCCATAGTCCATGATCCCGTGTTCCCTGCAAATACCTGAAAATTCTCTTGACTGCAAAAAGATGAGTGGTACGGGGGGCATGCATAAACTGAGACACTAAGTGTACTGCATAAGTAATATCAGACCATGTCAAAGTTAAATATTGTAACACACCTACCGTGCTCAATTGAATCTGACACGAGCTCGCCATCAGACAGGGAGAGAGTGGTGCGAGATGCTAATGGAGTGTGAACAGGCTTAACGGTATGGAGATGAAAGCGGTTCAGAAGATCAGAAACATACTTATGTTGAGAGAGAAACAAACCGTTGGGAGACCTACTCGCCTCAACACCCAAGAAATAATGTAAATTACCCAGATCTTTCATAGCAAAATGATTAGAAATAATAGAAATAAACTCAGTAATAGTAGACTCAGAATTACCAGTAATAATAATATCAACTACATATAATAATAAATAAATAAAAATAATATTATTATGGCGATAAATGAACAATGACTGATCTGACTTACTACAACAAAGTTGATGTTGCAGAAGAAAACTACTAAACCTATGAAACCATGCCCGTGGACCGTGGTGCTTGCTTAAGGCCATAAATAGCCTTGCGCAAACGACACATATGATTAGGAAATTGAGGATGAATAAATCCACGAGGTTGACACATATAGACTTTTAACATCAAGTTGCCGTATACCCCATCCAAAAGAAATAGCAAGAGTGAGAACAATACGAACAATAGTGGGTTTAATAACAGGACTAAAAGTTTCAGAAAAATCAATACCAGCCTGTTGATTAAATCCCTGAGCAACTAATCTAGCCTTATGCCGTTCAACAGATCCATCAGAATGATATTTAGTCTTATAAATCCACTTACAACCAACAAGATTCTTAGAATTGTCAAAGGGCACCAAATCTCAAATGTTATTATTAATGAGTGCATTAAATGCATGAGCCATGGTTTCCCTCCATTTTAATTGTTTATTAGCCTCAGTAAAGCAAGTGGGATCTGGTTGACTAACAACTATACTTAAGTTAAAAATGGTCTTGGGTTTAAAAATTCCTGATTTAGCCCAGGTTTGCACAGGATACACATTAACCACCGAAGATGGTGCAACTGTGCATAGAAGAGGTGAAGTCACTGGAATTAGAAGCCGGTGTTCGTGGAGTCGAGGGCGAGGAAGGAGTCTAAATACTGGGAGATGAGGATGATGCCTTGCCCGAGGCTGGTGTGGGTGGATCGGATAAAGGAAAAACAGGGGTTAGAGGAGAGTGTGAGTTGGCAGTGGGCGAGCTCGGCCTGGTGAGAAGAGGCAAGATGGTCGAGGTACTGGTAGTGTCGTTGGCAGTCGGTATGGCCGTGAGTTTCATAGGAAACGGGGTGGAGGGAGTAGGAGCAGTATGGCCAGATTTAAGGATAGTTTGAAAGGGGTATATATCCTCATGAAACCTAACATGACGACTTATGTGAACTCTACCAATGACAAGATCATAACAACGATAACCCTTATAGCCAGATGCATAGCCAAGAAAAACACATTGAACGGAACTTGGGGAAAGTTTATTGGCAGACGAAGCCGTGAAATTTGGATAACATGTTGTACCAAATACCCGCATAAAGGAATAATCCAGGACATGATGAAATAATTTTTGATAGGGTGAGGAGCTATTGAGTGCATCAGTAAAAAGTGCATCGTCCCAGAACTGACTCGGTACAGATGCTTTGAGAAGCATAGTACGAGTTAATTCGAGAAAATGACGATGTTTACGCTCAACAACCCCATTTTGTTGAGGTGTGTCAGGACAAGATTTTTGAAAATAAAAACCATTATCGGTAAAAAATTACTGCATATTACGATTAACAAATTCACCCCCTCCATCACTTTGAAAAATTTTAATTTTCTGATTAAAAAGATTTTCAACCAAAACTTTAAAATTTTTAAAGTGTATGAAAACTTCACTTTTGTGGCACATGGGATAAAAGACAAACGTTGTGATTTCCCTAATCGACAAACCACACAAGTATGGGTAAGAGGAGTATGAGTACATATAAATTGGGAACGTTTAAGGAATTGTAAAATATTGTCATAGCAGTGACCTAGTCTCTACGGTGCCACACAGAGCCAGAAGCGAAAACAGAAGCTAGGACTAAAGGTGATGATGACGGCAGATGAAGAGGATAAAGTGGTCCACTACGGGTAGCTCGAAGAAGCACCGCTCCCGTGGCTCAGTCCTTAATAAAAAAGGAATTTTTATCAAAAATAACAGTACAATTGTTATTAGCACACAATCTTTGAATAGAAATTAAATTGTATTTTAACTGAGGCACATGATAAACAGATTTTAATGTAAGGGGACGACCAGATGATGGTAATGCAACATCACCAATATGACGAATGGGTAAATGGGCACCTTTAGCAACACTAATAGAATTAAAGTCAGTGTAAGCAGATTTATTAGTTAAAATACCTTCCGATGCGGTCATATGAGCAGAAGCTCCCGAATCAGGATACCACAAGGCAGAATTAGATTCACCGGGAGTAGTCAACATATCTTGTGCAGAAGACTGTGTGAAACGAGAGGGACACGAGATGGCAGAGTGACCTGCAGAAAAACAAATCTGACACACAACCGGACGGGGAACTGGCCCAAGAATACCCTCATCTGATGAAGAGCCTGCAGGAACCAAGTTAGTAGCACAAACAGGTAAAACATTAATATTTAAACGTGACACAGATGATTACAAAATACAATACCGGAGTGCCAACCTTGCCGAATTGCCACCCCCTGTGGCTACATATACCGGCGGCTGAAAATGGTTCCCCGACTGACCGTAGGGAGGATACCAAGCTCCAGGCTGGCCGTAGAAGACCGGTTGCTGCCCGCGACCCCGTCCACGGCCACCACGGCCTCTGCCGCCCCGGTCGCGACCTCCGCGTCCACCACATGGAGCTGCTGGATAACTGAGTCGCTGCTGACCGGCCTGCTGTGGAGCTTGTTGCTGACCGGCGTTCTGTCCAGGATGCTGTGCAGGCTGTTGTCCATGATTCGGAAGCTGGGCACTAAAAGCTTGATGCATCGATGAGGTTTCTTGAGACCGAAGATAAAGGACCCGCTGCTCTTGCTCAAAAAGATGATTACAGAGTGTCTCAAAAGGAAAATTTTGAGGAAAAAGAGACATAGTTATGAACAGTGATTCATACTCAGGGCCTAACCCCATAATGGTAGTTTTCAGCAATTCACGTGGAGCAACAGGACAATTTATAGTAGCAAGATCATCAGCCAAAATTTTAATTCCTCTTAAATAAGCATCCATGGACTGATCAGGTTTATTTTTAAGTTGAGATAATAAATGCTTCAATTCCATAGACCTTGCCAGACTGGCAGACATAAACCGAGATTCTAATCGCTCCCAAATTTCACAAGAATGTTTAAGATCCCGAACATCAATAAGACCGTATGGTTTGGTCAATTCGCAACCAAATAGAAAAGTTGGGATTGGAATTTGGCGGTTTAGAAAATCCATGGAATAAGCAGGTGGTACCTGAAGGGAGCCATCAACCATGCCTAGGAGCCCTTGCGAAACGAGAAAAGACTCGAACTGGGTCCGCCAGGTGGTATAATCTTCAATAGCTAGGAGTTATGTTGTGGCAATATTGGTGGCGTTGGTAGCCACATGGGAGATTGTCTGAGCCAGTTCAGCGAGAGGGGAGCCACCAGAAGAAGTTGTGGGCGTGCGAGCATGAGGAATTGATGACGAGACACCCGGCGAGCCCACAAACATGGGACCCGAGAATTGTGTGGAGAATGGTGGCGAGTCGAGAGGTATGTGCTGAACCGAAGACGGTGCTGGCCAAGGAAAAACCGGAGGTAAATTCTGGAAGAGAGAGTGGGTCATGGCGGTGCGGCTAGGTGATTGGAAGCTCGAAGAAAACGTCACGCCGGATGAGGACATGGCCTGGTCTGCGACGGCTGCGTTCCAAGAGAGAAGGAAGCGCCGGTCAAGGCCACAGGCGTGACTGCCGGAGAAGTGCTGATCGAAACTGCAACAGAAGAAGAGTGAGAGAATCCGGCCATGGTGGAGGAACTCACCATTGTTGAAGCTGCGATGGAAGCAGTAGAAGCTGCGGCGGAACTGCGGAAGTCATCGCAGGAGAGAAGGCCGAAAAAAAAATAGGGTTTAATTCTGTGCTCTTGATATCATGTGAAATAATGGAACATGATTCCCCATAAGGAGCCTGACAGATATATTTATAGGAAAGAGTTTAAATGTAAAAATACATAAATATCCCTATTTAATACTTCTATTATTAATGTCATTAGGAACGAGAGTTGTTTTAAAGCTGTTTTATGTTTGAAATTATGAAAGTATATAAGATTTGAAACACAAAATAGCTTCAAAGTATTACATTATCGATGAACTTGATATAAATTACTTTTATGCTTGTAATTACTAATAAAAAAATCATGAATAAAAATAAAGTATGACTTAATAATTAATAATGATTATAATTGTGTTTAAAGTTTACATGATAGTGAATGCAGTCAATATGATGTCAACTTTCAACATATTATTAAGTCGCATTTTTGTTCATAGATTTTTTAGGAATATTATTAGTAGAACTTTTTTCTTATTTTTTTACCTTAACGCGATTCAAATTATTAATTGAATTGAAATCTTCTATTCGGATTTGTTTAAATTGATTTGATGTAGAGCCCATTTGGTGACCTCTGTTTTCGACTTACCAGTCAGTTCTTTGATCAAATACGTAAATTTTGATTTGACACGTTGAAATGTGTAATAATCAAAATAAGTAAGAATAAAGTTATTATCTAGCTGAATTGGCTAAAGTTACTATAGCAGATCATTTTAGCTATTTTCATATAATTTTTTCTTTATTCAATTAATACAATATTTTTAATTTTTTTCCATGATTAAGCAAATTTAGCTAATTCAGTCATTTCAGTCAGAACTTCATTAATTTCAGTAGATTTAGCCAATTCAGCCAGTTTCAGTGATGCCAAACAGACTCTTAGGGGGCATGTGGTGATTCTGTTTTTGGACTTATCAGTCTCATAATCATTTTTTTCAACAAACAAGTAACTTTCAATTTTACGCCCCGGATTGTATAATATTACATGCGTCCCACTAACATTGAAACATAAGGAGGTGACGCGATTATTAATGAAAATATGTTTATGTGATTTTTTTTGAAAAATAAGTTTATGTGATTGATATCAAATTGATAGAATAAGAATGAAGTAAAAATAATTTAGAACTACACAAACTTTATCAATTTTGGTATAGAACAATCTAAGTGAGAATTGAAAAGGACCGAAAAGGAATGATGAGACAATTTTAGCGGAAATGAGGAAGTAATAAGATTGGACAATGTTAGCTATTTTTCATATTTTTTTTCCCATTATATTATTAAATATTACTCATAATAAAATTCATTTTAAGTATACTATTTTTCATAATCCAACAAATTCAGTCAATTCAAACGTTTCAGAACTTCATTAATTTCACCATTCAATCGAATTGGCCAATATCAGTGTCACCAAATAGACTCTTAATCTAGTTAAAAATGATTTGGTAAACATCTTTTGTGTATGTATTTTACTACTATTATTGTCTAAATTTAGTGTGATATGAAACCTAAATAAATCTAACTAAAAACATTTATTATTACAATCACTATTATTATTACATTTCATTTCATTTTCATTTACCTCAGTGCCGCAAAGGCTCCCACCTACGGTTGGGTAGGGGGGGGGGGGTCGGATGTACGCAGTCTTACCCCTGTATTAAAGCACAGAGAGACTGTTTCCGGATGACCCAAAGTGAAAATCACGTCCAAAATTGCATGGACTGACTGCTGCTTCATAATAAAGAAGCGCAGACAGTTTAGTGAGTCATTTTGCTTTATTATTACATAAATATAAAATTGAGTCTTCCGGAATACGTAGTACTCCGTAGTATATACTCCGTGTATATTAATCTAATTAATTAAAATTTATATATTCATAAATTACACGATAAAAGTTTTGTTGATTGCAAAAATGAAAAATCCAATACGAATATAATAAAAAGCATTATAAACCACTAGATTAAAATATAATCAAGTTAACGTGGATAGTGTCACTGTGTCAGGGATAGGCCTGGACTCGGGCCGGGTGGCCCAACCCGGAACCGGCCCGAACCGGCACTGTTCCGGCCCGGCCCGGTGGCCCGGTCAGTGACCGGTCCGGGTAGGTCCGACCCGCGTGGGTTCCGGTTCGGGCTCGGGTCCCCTAAATCCTAAACCGGCCCGGCCAGTTCGGGCCCAGTTCCGGGCCTTTTTTATTTTTTCATTTTTTCATTTTTTTTTTACTTTTTGGGTTGGGCTGGATATTCTGGGCCATTTGGGTTGGTTTGGGGTGAGGGGGTGTCGGGGGTTAACTAGGAAAAGGAAGAAAAAAAAATTAACAAGGCCCGAGGCCCGGCCCAGAACCGGGGATTACCCGGGCCGGTTCCGGGCCCCCCATTCCAGAACCGCCGGCCCGGGCCCGAACCGGCCCGAGTCCAGGCCTAGTCAGGGACCATAAAGTGGGATTACAAAACTATTACTCCGTGTTATTTCTTATTCTTATATGCGTTAATTACAGTAACAGTAACAACGAATAGACACATTAATTATACCAATAATAATAAGGATCAAGATCATCAAAGGCGGACCGTAGTAGAGACTCAGAGGGGCAGTGGCCCCTACAACAATTTTTTTTAATGTATATATATACCAAAAAATAATTTTCGCCCTCCTAAAAAATATTTTTTTTAAGTTACCGCCCTCCCAAGATAAACTTCATGGGTCCGCCCCCGAAGATCATAATAACAAATTTGTCATTATCATAATACAAATAGTTTCAGCCCAAAACAAATTATAATATCATAAAGATTCAACCAATATTCAGATAGGATTACAAAGATTCAACGAAATGAGATAAAATGATCCAGATCAAACTAGAGCTTAACAATTTAGATGGATTCCCACAAATCAGATGGTAAGATTCAGATTAAACAAGACTGCCGGAACTTAAAAATTTTCAAATAAGAAATATTCCAATGCAGTGAAACTTAACAAGCCATTAACTCTCTGTTTATTTATTTTAGGGAAGGAAGGCCACCTTTTGATTGCCTATCTTCCTTGCCCATACAAAATAAGTAACCCGTCAGAACTAGCAAAGCGAAGGAAGTTGCAGCTCTTTGTAACAAAACAAAATAAAAAATTATTGAGAGGCATTACAAAAAGGCTATACCGTGGTGGCTATTGTCAGCAGGTATTAATACATTAAAGTCACTAACAGACCATTCAGCAGTAGCTGCACCCCCTTTTCCAGTAACATATATTTCGGTACCAACATTAAGGGAAGACCAGATGCGCTTTGCTGGTCTGCTTCCTGGATCCTGGTAAAAGTATAGGCGACTAGATAGAGCTCCAACATCAAGCTCCCAAGTTCTTGAATCCCCAATCCAGCCTTCTCCTTGCTTTGCAGGATAACCGTGCACTGCCCACTCTGGGTGAGGTAGAATCTGCACCAGCTCTTGCGCCTGCGGGTTGCTATATGGGTCACAAATATCATTTGGTTTCATCAAGTGTTCACCGTTCCCTGGGCTGCAATACAGGTGGTATGCTGAGTAAGGGAACCGTAATGTATCATTTCGGTGTATTATATCCCCGGTAGTAGCACTGGTGTGATAGGGTGGACAAGACTGAAGGTTATCTGAACGGCACCAACTCTTTGTTGAAGGGTTGATGATCATCTCACTGTATCGCGTCACGTCTGTTAACAAATCCCCATCACATTGATCTCCGTTGTTTTTCCAGCAGCTGCCTATGTCAAGAAGATAAAACTGACTGTTTTCCCCTCCTCCTTGTTTAACTTCTAGTGTCAGTTTTACTTTGAAGTTTGGTGACTCGGGCAACTGCAGTAAACAAACACAATCACATGATTCACCCAGCAATATTATAGTATTATCTTACTAAAAAATAATGATGAAAGCACATGGTCCTTTCCCTAATTGGGACTACATGCGTTTTTTTGTAAATCTAAAACGTAATTAGGCAAACCTAAAATTGCTACCTAATAGCCATTTGTATTCTGCACTGGTTAATGACTCCACTGACTAAGGATTATTGAATCAACAACCACTGTCAGTTCACTTAAGTCACTGAACCGCTGACTCAGTAAATTAAACCTGTGGTGGCATGCAGTGGTCACTGGTCAGTGACCCATGACTCCGTAGTCAATGACTCACTGCCTTGTCAAAAAGGTTGTCGGCTTGTCGCACAGCCGCACAGGAGACTTTTGGTCAATGAGGCTGTGGCTGGTGGGAGGTGAATTGTTATTTTACAATTACAACATTCTAAAAGGACGAAAAGTAGTATGGTTCTGTATAAGAAAAAGATGAAGTGATATATAAAATGGGAGAGTAAATGTTAATGCAGCTGAAATTAGGAAATAGATCGTACTTTTGTTTTTGGTATATACATCATCATCATCATTATCCCAGTGCCGCAAAGGCTCCCACCTACGGTGGGGTAAGGGGGGGTCGGATGTACGTAGTCTTACCCCTGTACTAAAGCACAGAGAGACTGTTTCCGAATGACTGTTTTTGGTATAGACATAAAAGAAAAATGTATCTAAAGAAATGGATCGGCATATGATACTGATTTACAGACCTTTCTCAGGATTCCGCGGCCACTATAGTGATATCCACCATTAAAGCCTTTTGTTGCGTCAGCTCTAAGGTACAACATAAGCCATGGGTACTTGGAGGATGTTGTCAGTTTGTGTGATATAATCCAGCTTCCTGTACTTATGTTCTTTTCCCATGAAACTGCAAAAAAAGAGTTCCCCTCTACCCCTGTGCTTAAATTGGCATCAAGCTCATACGTCCCATAAAACCCACCAGCTAATGATGAGTGTTGTCCAGAGCAGACAGCCCTTGAGTGGTTACGGAAGACAAGTGGTTGATTCATGCACCCCTTACCAAAACATGGGAAATTTCTGCCTGTGACAATCTTTTCGACTTTCCTTCCATTTTCTGGGCAAAGGGATGTGTTCTTGTCAAAGTTCCCATTTTTCAGCATAATCATCCAGAACTGCCATGGTTCTTCATAGTTGCTTACTTCACAAAGAGATCCAAGGTACTTCTCCTTTTCCACAGCATAAAGATCAGGGTCCATGGTTGGTTTGAAACCTTGGAGTGGAAACTCATCTCCAGCTCTTAATAAGTTGTCTGATTCATTTACCCTCTGATGTACTTCACATTTGCATCCCTCTGAGAGATTCTGGCCTGGTGAATATCACCAAAAAGAGGATATGAAGAGAAATCTTGACCAACGTTTGGCCTTTGTTATTATGGAAGTTAGTTTTAGATGATCTAAGCGCGTCAATAAACAGATAATAGGAAAAGGATAAATCCAGATGCTAAATTTGTATAGTTCAATATGTTGGTCTTGGAAAATGTATGGGTAGATATTTTACATGATGATGATGAAGATAACTTGAGCAAAAGATGGAATCATATTGCATTTCACCCCAAAGTTTCAGAATCTTTAATTTCCAAAACTTTCTAGAATGTATTAAATGCCATATTAAATACCAAACTCAATTAAACCTCGCATATCAAAACGAGTTTGATCCTTAAGCTGTTGATTGGAGTGTGATCTGAACCAAATAGCAGGTCAATTTTTGCGAAGAGATAGTCACGTTTATTTCATGAAATAATCATGTATGTGAGTCTGAAAGAGTAAAGTGAATTTATCTCATATTATACTAGAAAAAATGCTTTTCACGAATAAAAGATTCATGCTATCGATCATCGACATCATCATCAATATCAGCACCTTAACCCAACCTAGTTAGGAGTGACTTTAAATCTAGTGACAACTACAAATTAGGACCTATTAGCTTGTCGCACCTAGACCAACACAAACTTAAACAGATCACATGAATCGGCAAAATCCACTTCAATAGACATGAACAGAGCAGATGAATGGATCAGCATTATAACACTACTCGAAAAAACACATAATATCAAATAAAAGCATACCAATTCAGACCAAACTTAAGCGGAACAGTAGAGACTTAAATAGACTATATAGTTCAATGCACACAAAACGGACTAGTAAAGTTTAGTCCAAACTAAGAAGTCATTATTCCAAACACACTCCTTTTTATAGAGGACGGTCTCCATTGCCCCCCAAGCACAAGCACATCTTTGTTTCTTTTTATGAACCCAAGGGATATATGAGTACCAAATACTCGAGCCAATCAAGTCCTCAATTTAAAGGATGAATTCTCCACTGAATGATCCAAAACACTGAGCGGGATGCAAATGTTTCCATCATTAACACACAAATAAGCTAAAATAAAGAGAGAACAGAACCTCTGCTTGAATCGGCGGAGCAAGAAAGATCAGCGCAGTCTGCCATCCTGGGGCTACCCATTTTTGGAGCTTCTTCTCCTACTTCGTTGCAGAAGTTCCAGGCCTCAAATGCAAATCTGGAATTTGGGTCCTTCATTCCAGGGTCTCCAATTGCTGACACATAGGGAGCTGGATTTGAAAATCGTCCTTCATGCCCTCCTGAGCACAACCCTCTGTCAACACCCACCAGCTGTAACACCAGAGCGATGAGTAGAACCTCCATGGAAAAGGTAGAGAAAGAACCCGCCGCGCCACTCTCACGAATCTTTCCCAGCTGAATGGTACCCATATCTATGCGTCACCTGCAGAAATCAGAATCCGTGGGGTGCATGCAGTGTTGGCAACTCCAACTTGGCATGTCGTCCAAGGGTACAAAGGAGAAATCCTTCCGATCGTACTTTAAGACTGGGGTGGTATCCGTTCACTCTTTCTTGGTCGGTGTTTGGAACTGGTACCACGCTTCTTTCAAGTATAATCAAAATCAATTTTGAGAAGCTAATATTTCTCAACTTCTAAAAAATTGATTTTAAAAGTAAATAAAACCACTATAATCATTTCTGTACTTTCACCTAACGCTCTAACTTCTGTTTCTGTTCTTTGAAGGAGCATAAGCAGTTTTAAGAATCAGATCCAGGGACGGATCCAGGATTCTGAGTCAAGGGGGGCGAAATTTTTCGTTAGTGTAGGGGGTGAATTTTTTTTGTTAGTGTAGCGGGGTCAAATTTTATTCCCTAGTATAGCGGGACGAAATTTTTTCGCTACTGTAGGGCTATGTGGCTATTTTTATTCAAAAAATGATATTAATACATGCACATCCCGAACGACATTTAAATCTATTACATTCTCAGTTTAGACGATGACAAAGACATCAACCAATACATTTTTAATAACTTCTACATTGTTTAACCTCATGAATCAGTTATTGAATTGTAATTTTTGTCCACCAAGGAGGGTGTTCGTGAGTGACTCATGAAAAGTTTTCTTAATATTACAATAGTAGCATACTAGTATGTATGAGATTGTTATTTTTAGAATAATATGCACCACACACACACACATATATATGGTGCATATTATATTTTAATACTTTTATTAATTCTATAATAATTTAGAGTTTATTATCCATGCAATAAATTATTTTTAGAAAGCTAGAAGTAAATGAATTATGTAATCTAATGTCTATAAATATTTATATTTTGGATTCATTTCACGTGATCTAAAAACTGTGTAATTAGTGTGTCTGGTATTTAATATTGTTTGATATATGTTTTACGAAATCCCGTACTTGTTATCTAATAAAGATAATTAAACATTACAAAACTAGTAATTCTTATATAATAAGTATCCTAAATCTTAAATAACGAGTTACTCTATTGTCTATTTGTTTAAGTTATGTGAATTATTTTAGATGTTTCTTCTTTTAAATCTCCAATTAAGTATTACATTATGTAAGACTTTATATATTAATTTTGAAAATTAAATGCTAAGGGGGGCGAATCTAATTAAATTATGAAAGTTTTATGAAAATATTACATATATGGTAAAAAAACTTGAATGTCCAAGGGGGGCGGTCGCCCCCCCCGCGCCCCCCCCCCCCCCTAAATCCATCCCTGATCAGATCCAAACACCTCCTAATAATATCAGTTTAGATCGGACGGCTAAAATCTAAATTAGTTAAAAGGTTGGACTGGATTTTTCATATTTTTATTCTTTATATAGAAGTAATTTTTTATCAAATTTGACATTATCATGTTTTAAAAATGCTAATTTCTACCAATTTTTGGAAATTACTCCCATTTAGAGAATAAAAAGATAGAATGTTCTATTTTGAAATTTTAAAACATTTTTATTCTTATTCAGAGCAATTTAAAAAAAAATACTGCCTCCGTCCCAAAAAACATTGTCATTTCAAAAAATTGACCCATGATTTTGATTAGTATACTATTATGAAAGTTATAAATTTTATACTTTTATGAAAGTACTTTTAACAAAAACATTTTCATATAATTTTAATATTAGAAATAAGGAAAAATTGATAGTAATAATTCCAACTATCTATCGATTATTTCAGAATAATTCCAACTTTAGGGACCTTCCGCCAATAATGGTCCCTATAAATAAATTCGTGTAGTTTCTAAAGTCGATGAGAAGAGATATAACAAGTAATCCCTATAAATAATCTCAACTTTTAATTTTTACGTTTAATTTCTATTTAAAATTCACTTGTTGCAGGAGGTAATATCTAGTCATGGACCATTATTGGCGGACGGTCCATATAGTTGGGATTATACAAAAATAATCAATAGTTGAGATTATTGTTGGCAGGCTGGCAATAGTTGGGATTATTATTTTCAATTTGTTCCTATATTTTAATGGCTTTCATGACTTTATGTATCATATTGATGAAATATTAATTTAACGTTTTTATCTTGATTGCTCATGGTTGTGATAAACTAAACATGGTGATCAATATACTTTGTAAAGTTAATAAAGAAGTGATTCTATTGCATTAATAATGCTATGGTTAAGAATTGATAAACCATGAATCCATGTTATAATACTTCAATAATAATTATTTAAAAAATGAGAATTATACGGAAATGTAAAAGTTTTTTTGACCAATTTTTGTGAGACAGATTGAGCGTCCATCATTTCTTGTGGAAGTAGCTACTGGAAATGATCACTACACATATTACAATCTTATAGAATTTTAAATACCCTCAATAAAACGTTTATGCATGAACCTATTGTATTTCAAGAAATATTATTTTCTTCCAAGCTAATTAGTTCACATGTAAAAATGTATATTTTGGGCGATGATAAAAATAATCAAGTCCAACTTCAAAGAAATCTAAACTTACAACATGGATATCGTTATTTGTAAAAGTTCAAATGTTAAAAATTGAACATAAAAGTTAATACATTTATACATGAAAAACTGTAAAGCAAGCTAAGGTACCTAGGAATATAGCATGATGAGTACACATATTTTACACAAATATAAGAGATAAAAAATGTTTGAGGCACAAAACTGAGATGACTTTGTCCAACTGTATATTACAAAAACTGCAAAATAAAATCAAAATCCCGATAAGGTGATATTAATATTATTACCATCAAGCTGTGATGATCTAGTTGTAGTGAAGAAGTAATAATACCCATTAGTTGTCATTGACATTGTGATGTTCATATGATAAATGCACTTATAAGAACCAATACTCACCTATTCAATTCATAATCCATAATATTTCCAATCAATTCTGTCGAAGAGACCTGATGGTATTCTGCAATACGGAGTTGAGATAGAGAGAGAGATATATATATATGTCTTCAAAAAAACTGAACAAATTAGCAAGTTACGACACTTCATAAAAGAAAAAAAATGAAAAAGAATAGGAAAGTAAAAGGAGAAAAGAAATGAATGAAAGTAGATGTTGAGCATTATGGCAGCATTTAGTCAAACAATTTATAATAAGAATGTAGAATTGAAGAAGAAAAACTATGTTTTCTACTATTAAAGTTCTGCATTTTTATTATTAAAGCTCGCCTAAACATTTCATTGAACAACATGTGTGCATAATATACTTAGAGTACATGAGCCCTATCTTAACCCACTGGATTTAAACATCTTTAATAAAAACATGATTTCCAATGGACTCCCGAATAGATTGAGAGTGAATATAAGAGCATTAGATTTTTTAAAAAACACAAACGGCAGCCATCTTAAGGTAGAATATATTTCATCTTCTTAAATTTATAACAACTATAATTCTGGTTATTGTTGAAGGAAATTACTTTAATGTGCATTCGTTATAGATAGAAAGTGTACCTAGGGATTATATGTATTGAGCTAATTGGCCCATTGGCCCACTCCTTGTAAAACCCTAATCCCTCCTATTTAAAGGGGGCTTACTAATGGAATGAACACACCTCTCTCACTTCCCTAGAACACGTTATCAGCACGTAGCACTAAACCTATTTTTTTTCTCCCGTTCTCCCTACACTCAATCCGCAGCCGCGCCGCCAGCAGTCCAGCCGCGCCGCCAACGGTCCAGCCACGGCCTCCCCCCCCCCCCCCCCTTCCTAGCCTGCGACTCACCGATTCTCGGATCTCTTTTGAGGTATTTGCTTTACTCAAAAATCATTGTAGAACCTTATGTATATGATTTATTGCATCATGTTTACCATTGTGATGAACATCATTGATTTTTTTGAGATTAAGTCGTATCATCCATTTTTTTAGAGGTAGATGCAATTTTTGATTATAATTCCGTAATGCTATATGTTATATAATCATATAGTTGGAATCAATATCACATTATGCATCCCTCTTCGTTTTTATACATCCATGTGATTATACTTTTCCGTAAAGCTATATGCCGTATACATATAGTTGGAATCAAAGATCACACGATTAATCTTATTTTCATGCATTTTATATGATTATACTTTCCGTAAAGCCATATGTTAGATACATATAGGATGAATTAAGATCATATTATGATTTATTTTATTTTTTTTACATATTATGTGATTATATTTTTCCGTAATGCTATATGTCACTTGCATATAGTTGGAACCATAATCACATAAGATTACTCCATTAAATACTCAAATCAACATATTAGACGTTACATACATGAAATAGAGATTTCTCAATTTAAATTTAATATTTCTTTCCATATATATTAATATATATCACTTATATGTACTAATATAAGTATACGTTCAAATTGTGAAAATCACTTATTACGTACAAGAGTTATATTTATAATATATATTACCTAATATATATTACGTTCAAATATATATTACGTACTAATATATGTACCTCTATACATTAATACATTTCTTTCCACATACGTATGTTTAGTACACAAAGAATATATTAACAAATATGGCAAGAATTTAAAAATGATAAGTGTGAATTTTTCTTTCAAAAATTTATCAAATCTATTATATCTTTCTAAATATATCATATTACTAAATAATGAAACCGATTTTTTCCACTCTATTTAGAAAACTGTCAACTTTAGATAAGTATATACATATGACAAATCTTGAATGCTAAGTATCAAAGAGAAGGAAATCTCATACCTAAAGCTACTGATTCGGTAGTTTGGAAGAGAATCTGTGAAGTTAACCAATTGGCTCTGTTAGCTTGCGCCACTAATACCACTGGTACTTTGTGCTGGGACCTGGAAAAAACTGGACAGTTCACACTTATGTCAGCTTATAACTTCATCAGAGATGAAACAATTAGTTCCTTTTCATATAAGCATATTTGGGATTCTGAGCAACAATTAAAAGTCATGTTGCTTCAGTGGAAGATACTAAATAATTTCCTGCCCGTTAATAGCAATATGAAAAGATTTGGATTAGTGCTTAACCCCTCCATATGCCCCTTTTGCAGAAATCATGAGGATGAGGTGGATCATTTATTCTTTCAGTGTAGCAAGACTAAACCAAT